CATTTTATGAACTGTCACTTACCGAAACCCATTGCAAATCACAATTCAAATCCCTAGTCATGTCGTGCTTCCAACTTCCACCCATTAAAAAGAAATTTCAGATTTGACACCTTCCTGCTAGATAGCTGTAGGGCTTTCTGGTTTTTTATGCTTGGCACTACTGTTGCTGGAATACTGAACAATCGCTGGTTCTTCACCAGGAGGGAAATTATGGAAAAATAAACAAGTGCATCACTTTTCCAGACATGTTGGATATGATTCCATTTATGACTGGAACGGGTGACATTCCTCCGCTTTACTTGCTATATGGTGTTGTGGTGCATTTGGATATGCAGAATGCATCTTTCTCTGGACATTATGTGGCATATGTGAAAGACATGCGAGGCGATTGGTTCAGGATAGATGACACTGAGGTAAACGCCTTTTCTCATCAAACATTTTAGTGCAAGGATTTGGGGATTTTGTGAAAATGGTTCAAATTTGTTTCCCTAAAACACATAAATAAAATGGAAGTTTATCCTGAATATACCGAGTGCTTGAAAATATTGGAAGAATCCCAATTTGCTGAAAATATTGAAGTGGGTGGAAGAGCCTCCATTATCAGTGTCATGATATTGATAAGACATCATTACCTGCCATGTATAAATTATAGTCTTTGAAGCCCTGTTGTTATACTTTACGTTCTTTGGTCACTATAAATAAAGCGTAGCTGCTTAAGGAACATCCGTATATTATATCCTCTATCACGATAACAATTCACAAGCAGTGGACCTGTAGTTTATTCCGTAAGATAAAATGGAAATGTATCTATTGGTTAGAATTTCTATTATATGCTCCTTGCATTTATGCCTTTTGAGTGTTGACATGGTTCCCCTTGGTGCATATGTTTGACAGACAAATGAATGATTGAAGTTTATATTTCTTGTTTTATTTTCTGCCTATGAATTGGGTCCTAAGGTTGGTCATGCTTCATAAACAGGTTCACCCCGTCTCAATGAGCCAGGTTATGATGGAAGGAGCATATATCTTATTTTACATGAGGTATGTATAAATGGCATTGAAAATAACCCGCCCCGATCTCTTTTCCTTACCGCTTCTTTTAATTGGGGGTTGTAGCATTCATATGATTGTATGTTGGAATATATTGGATTTATTAGATAGTACGAACTATGGTAATTGTGAACTGGGAGGGGTTCGATTGGTGGTATTCTACGTATTCTTCTTTCTTTCCCAGGTCTTGTCCCCGCCCTCAAAGAGGATTTTCTGGAAAAGCTGTCAGGGGGCAAGTTCCGGGCTTAGAAAATCAATGCATGTTGAAAGCTCAGAAGTCAAGGCTAGATCAAAGCAAACACAGCAGCCAATTTGCTAGGCCAGAGCATTTACCAGGTGATATCAGGCCAGATATTGCAGATGCCTTTGGCAACAGCACCACTAATGATATCCCTCGGAGTTCTAATGGGAATGTTTTCCCTATGATGGAAACATATGGTGAGCCCATCGGTGTGGAGTTCTCTGATGCTACTTCAAGTGATTGGTCCCTTTTTACAAGTTCTGACGAGGCCTCTTTCACGACTGAGAGTACTAGAGACTCTTTCAGTACTGTGGATTGTGCCGATGCTTCCAATATCGATCCAATCTCTTCAATTTTCAACACGTTATATGCTCCGGAGTATTCTCACAGTTCTGCATCCTGTAGAAAATTTTATAATAGTAGGCCACACACTAGATTTGTTTCCAAGGAAAGGGGCGTTATTTTGGATTCGTGCTTGTCAACCCATCCCGTTGACGGATTACAGAAACGAAACTATTCAAGACAGGTCAGTGATTCACAAACCGAACACCCTCTGGATAGTAAATGCAGCTCGTTTGTAAGATATGGGACTAACCCAATACATAGTCTTGACCGAATTTCCGATCATTTATAAACTCTAATCCATGAGATTCTGATTGGATAGTTGATTTAGTGTGGTAGGAGCTGTGCCCCAAAATTTTTGGTTTCAATGTGTTGTTGGTTGGGGCATGTTTTATATCGAAACAAGTAAATGTAACAATCTACTTGTTAGCAATCTAGTTATCACCAGAAATTGTAGAGTACCGGGATTTTCTATGCTTCAATCTGTCTACTGGATGTCTCTGCTCAATCTGTCTTTGGAATATCTTTTCCTTGTGTTTCAATCTGCCAGCTGAAGTTCTTTCAAGGAAATGTTCTTATGAGTTGGAAAAGTTGAATTGATTTCAGTCGTTGGTTACCTTTACTTTTACTGATTTCACTGTAGGCTTGTTTATCTTGGAAAAGTTAAATCCATGGCTGCCTGCCTTTGGAATCCCTTGCTTGATGGTAAACTGTAACAAAGTTTGACACAAGCAAGTAGTAAAAAACATTTTGCACCAGAAAAAGAAGTTAAAATTAATTTGCAGGTATGGACTTCCCAGTTTAGCATGCTGGAAATCAAGTTGCCAAGGTGGAACATTATTGTTTCACCTCTCATTGCTTTCAATATTTAAATGGAGGTTTTGTACTGAGATAGAATACCTCATCTACAGATCGATTATTCAATGTTTTGTATCATTGTTCATGAAAGTTTCGTGTTGGGTTTGATGCCGATTTTATAGGTACCGTGGTTTTTGAGGCCGAATGCGGAGGCACCGTGGATGCGTAGGCATCGTGATATTCACACATCTTATTTTACTTCTTACACACCTTTTTAATTTTCAACCGTCGGATCGGATGAATTGAAGAAGATCAACGGACAGAAATTATGAAGGGGTGTGTGAGAAGTAAAATGGGGTGTGTGGATAGCACACCCCTTATCAAATTATGGCAAACTAAAGTAACCATACCAATTAAAAATAAATGCAAAATTAGTGTTTAAATCAAAACATCATAAATGCTGGGTTAAAACTTAAACCAAAAAGACCGACCCCTTGTGAACTCCTCTTTGGTTGGTTTGGTTGGTGAGTCCATAGTTACTGTTTGAAATATTTAATCCTTGGAGAATTAGAGGATTATCTCCATTGTGTTATCTTTATATATAAAGCCAACAATCCCTTATGGGGTCACAAGTTTCACCAAAAAAATTTTGAACAAAAATGCCCTCAAAACAAAAAATTTCAAAAGAAACTCAAAATAATGCATCAAATAATGTAGGGGTATTTTCGTTATTTTAATAATATTTTTTAATAATTAATTCTTGTTGTACAATTTTTTCTATTTTTAATTAGTACCTCACAATAGGCTAATAATAATGTGATTCAATCAGTTATTCATTAAATGTTATTTTCTCTATTTTTAAACATGTTCAAAACATCTTAGGAGGCATGTAATGCCGGTTATAAAAAAGGTCTTTCGCACGCACATAATAATGTAATTAAATTAGTTGTCAAATGATTGTTTTTTTTTTTTTTGAACAAACGATATTATCTACACTAAAGGGGTGACAATTAGCCTCATAATGGGCTAGCAATAATATGATTCAATCAATTTATTAAATATTATTGTCTCTATTCTTATGTAAATTCAATAGATTATAGATGAAAATTGAAATATCGATTTTATTATGTGAATTCAACTGCTTTGATTGGTTTGTGAGGGGTTTTTTCTAGCATGATCTAAGATTATTCATTTACTTTAGATATTTGACTTTCCTTTTGTTAATTTACGCATATAAATACATTTAAAACATGTAAGTCGCATGTAGTATGCCATGATTAAAAAAAATGTCTTCTACACACACGTGAGAGCGTGCATGAAGGCTAGTCTTCTATAATATGTGTTCGTTCTCTAGTCTACAAATTCAAGAAAAAATGTTTTAAGGTCCCTTGTTTTCAAAGAGATTGGATATGTTTTAGGGTGTGAGAGAGAAGTTGCAGAAGCTTCAGCTGGTTGTTGCTCAACTCCAAGCTGTTCTTCTTCATCCAGAGCAAAAGGAAGCTAATAATGAAGTCAAGGTGTGGCTCCAAAGCGTAGGCAATTTAGTTTTTGAAGTTGATGACGTGTTGGATGAATTTCTTACTGAAGCTTAGTGGAGAGGAATGTTGATGGCTAGAAAGAATTCAGTGACAAAGAAAGCATGCACATTCTTCACAGATAATGTAATTGTTTCCATAGTCGGGATAAGAAGACTGGTAAAACTGTACATGCCCAACTCTTTGTCCACCACGACGTTGTTGAATGATTTGGACAACTACCTCCATCCCGACTATAAAAACGACGGATACATTTTCATTAAAAAAAAAAAAAAAAAAAAAAAAAAAAACAACGGATGCACCTTCAAGTATATGATCCAACAAAAGTTGAATGATTGCCCTTCTCTTTTCATTTCTCCCCAATTATATTCTTTGCATGCACAAATGAATGAGTGGCCTTCTCTCTAGTTTGAAATCAGAAATCTTCAATTAACAGCTCTTTTGATTGAAAACTTCTGCTTAATGCGATAACATTAAGTTTCTCTCCAACATCTTTGATCTTATGGTCAATCGTTATCTGAAAAGGAAGTTGGTTCGAGCTAGAAACGAAGATGTGTATTTTCTTTGACACTAGATTCTTTCCAATCATGAACATTTCTCTGCACTGAACTTCAATACAAAATTTATCTAACACGTCATCAACTTAAAAAACTAAACCGCCTACTACGCTTTGTAGCCACGCTTTGACTTTATTATTAGCTTGCTTTTGCTCTGGATCAAGAACAACAACTTGGAGTTGGGCAAGAATCAACTGAAGCGTCTGCAACTTATCTATCCAACCTCTTTGAAAACAAGGGAGCTTAAAACATTTTTCTTGAATTTGTAGACTAAGAGAACGAACACATTATAGTGTTGTGTCATCATTGAATGGAAAATGCTGCAATCACTTTTTTGTTTTCTGGTATTTCAGGAAATTGGTCTTTGTGATTTTCACAAACCGTGTCGATAGTTTGTTTAAATATTCCAATCTGACTTAATGAAGTCTTTGAAGTCACTAGACTGATTTAGTTTGTTTACAACTGATGATTTTCATATATGTAATAGAGCATTTTGGCATTTTGATATATTTAACAAAACTAGTAACGTCTGTGATAAAAAGATGGAAGCTTAATCCAAAATAGTATATGTCAACCACTGTGACTTGTACACTTACTACATATGTGATTTGGGGCTTCAAGCATGGTAGTTTTGTTCTCTCTATATATCGATCACTCTTCTAAATCAAATATCATCCATATCTCATTCACCCTATGATCAAATTCGAACGGCGAATTGTACTGCGCAACAGTATAAGCTGAAGTGTGATCGGCTGCATGGCTTTTGTCAATGGCAGCAGACCAAATAGTGCCTGCAAGACTGGCCTGCAAGGCAGCAGCTTCTTCTCCGATGTTGTAGTCAGATACGAAACCACTGAATTGTCTCACTGCCACATATTTAGGTTTCCATGTTTGAAGATGAAGACCTTCTGCTGGTGGTGGGTTTTCTTGGTTCTTCTTTGGCACATAGAAGCTCACAACAAATGAGGACTCACAGAAGGGTCCATCACTTGGTGAGACTTCGCTGAGGACTGGGGCAGTCATCTCTATTTTCTCTTCATACTTGTTCTTCCCTTGAATGTAGTCAAACAACCTGTGTAATTAACATATATGAGACTTTTCATATATAGATTAAATTAAAGAAAACATTTTATTTTTTTCAGTATTAAAACTCCTCATTTCAATAAGATTCGGCTTTCAAATCAATTTCGTTTACTACAAGAGTCGCTATATCATTTCCTTGTGAGATTCTTTTGTCACAAGTGAAAGCGATATTGTTACAGAGATATTGGGAAAAGGAGAATCCGAATACAAGACCTATAGGATGCAAGGTTTATTATTCTTTAAGCATTTGTACCTTTAAATTTGTATGTAATCGTAGCGTGTACTATATTCCAATTCACCATTGAAGAGTTTTTGTATGTACCGACTATATGTGTATAAGCAGGATCGCTTTCTACTATTCACAATACAATCCGATTATTTGAACCACTAGAACTTTAGGACCTCGTTCGAGGTTCATATTTACTAAAAAGATCATCGTAATCCTAAATCATTTAATCTAATAATCACGTAAGTAATGGACGAACACAATATTTCTCTAAAAGAACTAAATACTCATGCTGTTAATCATATGGTCAGACGATTTTGGATTTCAATAATTTTTTGCAAGGATGATTTTCAAAGGAATCTCTCTTAAGAAGGAGGTTATATGTATATTTTATTGTTTATCAACAACATATGAGACAATGAAACATATATGCTTATAGAGAAAGAGGGCAATATATAACCAAACCAGCACAGACGACTATTTTTCATCACATCCACCCACGTACACATTATATTCCGCAATAAGAAATTCCCATAATAAATCTAGCTCAGCAAGAACATATGAACAAGGAAATAAAAAGGTAAAATACGAAGAATACAGAAAAATTGAAGGGAAAAAAGAAACTTACTGTAAGAAGCCAGTTCTGGTGGCTTCAACAAGAGAGATATCTTGAATAGGAGAAGTCGATATCCACTCTGTCGAATTGTATTGACGGACTTCGTAGCCATTTCCAACCTCGACTGTGTCGAAGCTAGGGCACTCTATGCTGTTACATGATGGTGGAAATATAACCAAACTGTTTTGATTTTGTGGCCACAACCCCTGGTTCAGATGGGAGAGAAGGCTCAAGAAAAATGAGAGCTTAAACATATTGAAAGCAGCCATGGATGAGCAGTAGTGAAAGTTGCATGTATTTTTGGTATTTATATCCCACAAAAAGATAGGGTAAGCTTTGTGAGGTTGCTATGGAGCTGAAGAGTATCTCAATGCCTAAGGTCCACAAAATTTAGAACTGTTACACGCGTTGTTGTGGCACTATTGTGATTCTAGGAAGCTTTTGGGGTCATTTAGAACTTATTTTAGGGGTTCATGAGTGTACACGTTTGTGAAATCTTTGTCGACTTATCTGGAACTAGAATCCAGCCGTTGGTGCACGATTGATAATTTGATGGTAAAGATTTTCCTGTTTTTGTTGGAGTGGTGCATATCTTCTTCATAAGTTTAACATTAAACTCCAACACAAACCCATTATTTTGAACAAAAAATATAATTACTTTGAGCAAAGTTACGTACTTATGGCTCGTTTACTAATTTGTAATCAAAATTAGGCGAACTGAATTAAGAAGCAATTAAAATGAGGAGAAGTCAGAATCGGATACAGATTTCAAATGAACTGAAATGAAGCATATTTGATGAAATGCTAGGATTTAGTTCCCAAATGATCCATTGTGATCACCAAGCACAATAAAGAGCTATAGGAATTGATAGCTTAAACTATACACTCAATAAACACAATCAGGTAGAAAAAGCAAGAGTAAAATTACCAAGTAAAAATCTTCAAAAAAAAAAACTCATTCCAGATATTTTTATTGTGAGCATGACTATTTTTATCATCCCAACCGATCATATTGCATACTCTCTCTAGTTGAGGTGTAACATCTCTGATCTATACTTTTGTTGTCCTTAACTTTGATTCGTACGAAAACTATTAATTGTATGAAACATTGTCACTAAAATATAGATTAAAAGAAGCATGAGTACGTACTACATATGATCAGCTGCTCATGGATCTTGTTATTCTTTATCACATATTGTATATATTATTCTTCATCAAGCATATATACATGCATGCATTCATGACGTTATTTTGATACATCTCTTGCTTATTCTACTCTGGGCAATATTTGATCATGAAAATCATCCCATTGCATGCTTCTAAGTCCAGACACGTGCATTTTCTTCGTACTTGCCTCGATTATTTTTATAGAGCCGAGCAATCTCCTTTTCGAGAGGGTCGTCGGGATTTGGATCAGTTAGCAATGAGCATATTGAGATCAACACTTTAGAAATACTAAGAGCAGCGCTCCAATTTTTTTTTAGGGTATCGATGTAGAAAGTCATAGATCTATGAGAGAAATGCTAAAGGTAGAGAGAGAGAGAAAATCTAGAGAGAGAAGTTGTTGTGGAAAAATGATTTCTATTCAATTAGACAAGCCGTGTGTACAACCAATATAAATAGCTTTACAGATTCTAATAACCGACTATAACAATCATAGCTTAACAGCTAAGTAAAATCCTAAACAGATACATCATTGATTAGTTCTAATTGTATCCTTAACACACCCCCTCAAGCTAAAGGGAGGAAAGCGAACTGAAAGCTTGGAAGTTAACTCAGCAAAGCGAGCAGATGGCAAGGATTTAGTAAAAATGTCGGCGAGTTGAAGAAGAGAAGCAACATGGTGCACACTGACTTGACCAGCAAGAACCTTTTCACGGATATAGTGATAGTCAATTTCCACATGTTTAGTCCGAGCATGAAAGACAGGGTTAAAGGCTAGAGCAATTGCACTCTGGTTGTCACAGAAAATGGCAGGAGTGTGGAGGATAGGAAAAGAGATATCCTGCAGAATTTTACAGACCCAACTGAGTTCTGCAGCTGTATTGGCAAGCGACCGATACTCAGCCTCTGTAGAAGAGCGGGCAACAGTGCACTGTTTCTTTGCACTCCAAGAAATTAAATTGGGACCAAGGAAAACACAGTATCCACTTGTTGATCTTCTGTCAACCGGGCAGCCAGCCCAATCGGCATCAGACCATGCAGTGAGGCATTGAGACCCTGGGGTAAACCATAAACCAGCATCAAGAGTCCCTTTCAAATAACGAAGGATCCGTTTGACCGCTTGCAGGTGAATGGTACGAGGGGAATGCATGTACTGACATACTTGATTGACAGCAAATGACAAATCAGGTCTCGTCCAGGTTAGATACTGTAAAGCACCAACAGTGGATCTGTAAAATGTGGGATCAGAGAGAAGAGTGCCTGAGTGATCTAACTTTGCAGAACCAACAGGAGTGGAGCAAGGCTTGACACCAATCATATCTGTTTTCTTCAACAAATCAAGAGCATATTTGGATTGGTGAAGAAACAGTCCTTTAGCAGATCTGTGTACTTCAATGCCCAAAAAATAGTGAATATCACCCAAATCCTTCACAGGAAACATAGTTTGTAACTGAGCAATAATAGATTAACAAACAGATCGGGAACTACCAGTAATGATAATGTCATCAACATAGACTAAAATAAAGGTGATGGAAGAATCCTGCTTGATGAACAAGCTGGTATTAGAAGAAGAAGAGGAGAAACCCAAGGACAGAATAGCCGTGTAGAATGCTTCATACCAGGCCCGAGGAGCCTGTTTTAAACCGTAGAGAGATCTGTTAAGTTTGCAAACATGGCGGGGTTTTGTGGAATCAACAAATCCCGGTGGCTGGATCATGTATACAGCTTCCTTCAGAGTACCGTGCAAGAACGCATTACTGACATCAAGTTGATGAATGAACCAGTCATAAGAAATAGCAATGGATAACAGAATACGGATAGTTGTGGGCTTAGCAACAGGACTGAAAGTCTCAGAAAAATCAATGCCCTCTTGCTAATGAAAGCCTTTAGCCACTAGACGGGCCTTGTACCGTTCAATGGAGCCATCAGGCTTATGTTTGACTTTAAACACCTATTTGCAGCCGACTAAATTTAAGTTGGGATGAAAAGGAACCAAATCCCATGTGCCAGTGGACTGCAAGGCGTGAAACTCATCCTGCATTGCAGCCATCCAATGTGGATTTTTGGAAGCTTGCAGAAATGTGGTAGGAGTAGGAGGCAGACACGCAAGTGAATCAACAGACACAGGAAGAGAATGTTTTGTGGCAGTAAAGACTTTTGGTTTGTGAATGCCAGCCTTAGCTCGAGTAATCATTGGGTGAGAATTAAGAGATGGTGGTGGTGCAGGGACAGAGGCCGATGAATTATGAGAAGAAGCAGGTAAGGAAGATGGAGATATCGGGGCAGATAGTGTAGTAAACGGAGCCGGTGAGAGAGAGTCCTGATGTGTAGAATGAGGGAGAGCAGCAGTGACAGATGGAAGTGTACTGGAAGGAGCAGGAACTGGAATAGTCACAGAGGTAGGAGAAGAGGTTGTAGAGGAGGCAGGTTGTGGTGGGTTAAAATCAGAGAACATGCCGTGCTTGAATGGAAACAACTGCTCATCAAACGTAACATGCCGTGAAATATACACTTTATTAGTAACAGGATCAAGACATCTGTACCCACTATGATTAAGGCTATAGCCCAGAAAAACACACAATCTGCTCTTTGCGTCAAGCTTGTTAGCTGAATACGGTTGCAACCATGGATAACAAGCACATCCAAAAGCCTTCAGAGTATGATACCGTGGAGGAGCTTGAAAAAGTTGTTCCCAAGGACTAATGGAAGAAGAATGAGAAGACAGTCGATTGATAAGATAGACAGCCGTCTGAAACGCCTCAACCCAAAATTTGGTTGCCAATCCACTCTGAGAAAGGAGAGTTCGACCCATTTCAACAACATGCCGATGCTTCCTCTCAGCACACCCATTCTGTTCAGGTGTATGAGGACAACTGAGTTGATGTGTAATGCCTTGATCATTGAGAAAAGTTTGAAAGGTCCTGCTCAAGTACTCACCCCCTGAATCTGACCGTAGGCATTGTATGCGACAAGAAAAAAAAGTTTGAACTTTGAGCACAAAAGTCGTGAAAACTGAGTACACATCTGATTTATAAACCATAGGATATAACCAACTGTATTTAGTATAGTCATCTACCAAAATGAGGTAGTATTTGTAACCAGTACATGAAGCAATGGGAGAAGGGCCCCAAACATCAGTGTGCAGTAATTGAAAAGGCCTAGTAGATATACACGGCAAAACAGAAAAAGGTAGCTTAGAAGCCTTCCCCAATTTACATTCAGTACAAACAGATCATTGAGATATAGAACCTTGAGGTACAGAACGAATGACAGGTAGTTGGTGTTTATTCACAATAGTATGTAATACTTGGCTCGATGGATGTCCCAATCGCTGATGCCACAAATGAATATCTGCTTTATGAACGAGCAATGCCTGAGGAGAGAGTGCAACTCCAGATGTGCCATTTGATGCATCCCAGTAGAAAGGGTACAAACCACCTTCACAAGGGCCCTGGAAGAGCATCCTCCCAGTTCTTAGGTCCTTAATATAGAACCCAAATGGATCAAAGGTCAGAGATGCCCAATTATCATAGACAAACTTGTAGACGGACAATAAGTTGTGTGAAGCTTTGGGAACTAATAACACATCATTAAGCTTAAAAGTAGCATTTTGAGTTCGAATTAAAGCAGAGCCAGTGTGGGAAATACACAGACCTTTACCATTACCAACAAACAGGTGATCACTGCCGGTGTATGGAATAGCAGAGTTGAGAGAAGCTGGATCAGGTGTGACATGGTGAGAGGCACCATTATCAGTTAGCCAATAGCTCGGTGGAGGAGAAGTAGTAGCAGTCATACCAAATGGAGGACCAACATTGGATCGTTGAGAAGCAAACTGAGAGAGTTTCTCACAATTGAGAGCGTCATGGCCATATTTGAGGCACAATTGGCACTGAAAGGATTTTCCAGAGCTGTAATTGGCAGACTGAGAACCAGAGAATGTGGATCGAGGAGATGGAACAGGGCCAAGAATACCTCCTGAGGGGTTATAGTTGTTGCGATTACCTCCAAAATTCCGAGTTTGATTAAACTTATTCCGATTCTGAAATCGACCACGATGGTTGCCTCTGTGGTTGGTAGAACCAGAGAAACCTTGGTGAGCGGTATAGGCATGAAAAAGTTGAGAGGAG